ATGTCTTCGAGGGATGTGTCTAACCCATATTTCTCAAGTACTGCTGGTTATTTTCAAAGTGCTAAGAAACATTGTTTTATTACAGGTCGTACTTCTCCCTCCTCTTTCAATACGTGGTGAACACCTAGAGCCTGCACACCAACACATGACGGAGACCTGATTGCTCATGAATGGGGAAACCAACTTCATAACTACGAAATGAAGCTAAATGACACGCAGAATTTGGCGGCTCGGTATTTCCTTTGATTCCTGTTTTATCATCTTTCTCCGCGGACAGTTCGCAGCCAGGCTTCTTAATAGTGTAGCCTGAACGCTTTTGTGGTACCTGATGTAGGAGGAGGTATGTCGCTACGTTAGAGGTCCGAAAGTAGCATCTCAATCGTGAAAACTGAAAAGTACTCGATTGTATAAATGCACCCTGCGGAAAGTGCATGGAAGGCTAAGTCGAACCCAGCTGGGTCGGTCACCGCAGATGGTTCCAGTTAGGGAGAATGTGACTGAATATCAACAGAAAAACGAGGCCGCAAGTGCCCCTTTGAGGAGGAGTGAAATTCTTATACGAGCAGTTTCAGACGGAGGTCGATTTGTACCGAAGGAAGCCTAGAGCAAGAGGTACAGCAGTGAAGCATCGGTGTTGAACACTAATGTCATGGTGTCGATGATGATGAAGAGCAAGAGGGCATCTAAGGGCCTACTTAGAAGTTCGCATAACCATACCTCGAGGTATAACATGAAGAAATGGTGCTAATTTTGAGAGAATATCAAGATGTGGAAGGGCCGACACGAAGACCGTGCAACACGTAGCCGCTAGCTGTCCCAATGGTCCTGATCATCCCCTATAAAGCCTAGGTTGTGGCGTTCCTAGTGGTTCACCCATGGCTTATTACTTCGAAGTGATATTTTCAGATCTGCCGACGAGGCGTCAAATTTGTTGCTATGGTGACATAGGTTATCATAGGGTTTTATGTTGCAAGTACTTTCCATGGTGATTGGTATTGTGGTAAATCTTGCTAATGACAAAGTCAAACATTGGTGCATGCATTGTTTCGGGGTGGTAGGCTTTTGGAGTCCAACATACTTGTACGAATCTCTGGCATGCTGGGTTAGCTGGTCACTTTTCTGCGAGTCCCAGTCTATTGACGGAACCAATGCGTAGGTTGGTAATTACGCGAGAAGAGGTGAATTTTCACTTAATCATGTAGCAGTGTTTGTCGCAACCAACAGGAGATATTTCGTCCCGATTTCGCATATTACGGCTGCTCATAGAGCCCCTTACGTTCTAGAACCCTAGGAATTCATGTCCTCGGTCGTTGTAACAACCGTCACTTAAGTTCGTCACTAATAAATCAGCTTTAGAAGTTGAGTGACGAAACATCGTTCAGGGGATATCAGGCCGAGCTGCTACAAAGTATGGCTGCGAATTATTACGACTGTT